GGGCTGGGAGATGAGGGTGTAGCCATGGGGCACCGCTGGCCCCGGGGGTGCTCAGAGGATGCTGCAACACGAGGTTTGAGAGAGAGCGAGAGCAAAGATGATTTCTTTTTTTTCTGAAACAGCAGGGAACAGGGGAACGAACCTGAAGTTTTTAGGGCAGCTCCAAGTGCCAGGCAGCCGGGGTACCACTTTCACAAAAACCTCCTCTGGGATGAGGCAGTCGCGTTATCTGCAGTCCTTATCACTTGTTTTCCAAATAATGAGTGAGAAAACAAAACAAAAGCTCTTAATTACTGGCTCTGTTCCTGGCCAAAGTGTTTTAACCACCCTCCCCCTTTCTCCAGCCACCCCCACGCCTCCGACTCCTGCACCAGTCCTGGGGGCCTTGGGCCGCTCACTCCGAGGCAGTGATTAAAAGGTCTAATTAAAAAATGTGGGCTGTGGGCCCAGGACACAGAGTCCCCCACCTGCAGAGTGTTCCCACAGCTTGCCCCACGTGGTCGTTTTTGGGGAGGCTCCATTTCCAACCCATTGCCGTGGTCACCACAGGGGTGCCCCTCACGCCCTGGAGCACAAACCCCCCTGAGCCTCGGGGACACCTTAAATAGCCCAGCACCGTCTCGGCTGCAGCCCCCAGCTCCACCCGGCAGGGCAGGATCGGACCTTCAGGATCAGCCTCCAGGACCCCCAGACACCCCCAGCCCCGTCACGGGGCACCAAGAGCTTTTGCCACCATCCCACCCAGCAAGGATGAGCCTGTGGTGAAGGTAACGTGCCCCCCAAGCCCTGTCTCGTTGCTGACAGGGTTCTGAGCTGGTTTTCTCCAGGGTTTAAGGATTTCTGTCTTTTCTCCTTCTTTTTTTATTGCTCATATAACTCAAATGGCTGAATGGATTTTCTTCAAAGGCTCCAAAACAGCCAGAGTCTGGTGGAAAAAAAAAACCCCGAGGTTACGGAGAGTTAGCTCAGAAGGGAGCCTGGGAAATTAAAAATTATTGTGAATTGGGGTCTAAGTGGCTGCCTGTTAATGAGCTACACCCTCAGCGTGAAGCTGATGGAAGAGCTCACAGCGACAGGAGCTCTGCTCCCTGCAGCCTCCCAGGAGGGGACGTGGTGAGGGATTTGGACAGAGGGTGTGGGGACCATGATTCTTCTTCCACCTCTGCCCCACGGGAGTCTGTGCCACGCCAGGGTGGGCAGCATCTGGCTGAGGGGCACAGAAGTGGTGATGGTGACGAGTCATCACCCTACAGTTATTAACCCCCACAGCTCAGAGACCCATCACGAGTCATCATGGGCACTCCTCTCCCCAAAGGGCTGTCGCAGTGGTTGTAACCTCAGGTGTTAAAATATTTAACATCTTGGGTTGCAAACCACAGCAAAGCTGGATTCACCTCCGGGCTCTAGGGGTAAAATGTGCTCTGTTCCATCCCTTGGGCACAGCTCCCCTCTCTGCGAGGTCCCTCCACCTCTGGCAAGGATGGAGAGCAGAGGGTCCCATCCGTTCTGGTCTTGGGAAAGCCTCAGCAGCACTGGGGGACACACAGCAAGCCCCAGAGCCCTCACCCACCTCTGCAATGGGTGATGCTTTCTTTGGGCTTGATGCTTGAGATCAGGACATTTCCATGGGGTGCTTGCTTGTCCTTCAGCCCGGATGTTTCAACACTTCATTGCTTTCCTTGGCAAAAAAAAAAGGGCAAGAAATGATCTTCCCACTGAATGCCATGACTGCAGGGCTGGAGGAGTCAGGAAAGCCTCAGGATACCTGGAGACACGCTCGGATCACAGGTTTTCACAGCAGTGGCTGTTTGACAGTGTTTTCCAGCAGCTCTTGATTCCCAAAGGGCAAGTACTGACGTTTGGCAGCTTCAGATGGTCTGTTTGGAAGAGAGGACACAGAGAGAGCACTGCAGTGTGGGTGTGTCTCCACCACAAAATTGATGTCCCCCTGAAAGCCCCATGTGAAAACCTGGTGGCCCAACCTTGGCTGAGGGTACTGGCGTATTTTGGCAGCACTGAGGACCATGAGTTGGGGCTCAGATGGCTCAGAGGGATCTCGAGGCCACCCTGGCCTAGGTGGCATTCTGTCCTCGGTGGATCAGGAGCCCGGGACGTGGCCAGAGCAGCTGGCAGACACCTTTGTGCCCTTGCAGGTAACCCCATGAGTGCAGCCCTGCAGCTGGCAGCGTTTGGTCTTGCCCTTGTCTCAACCCTCTTCCTGCTCCTTGCCACGTGCACGGACTGCTGGATGGTGAACGCTGATGACAGCTTGGAGGTGAGCCCAGCGACCGGCCTGGGGGTGGCAGGGTGACCAGGCTCAGGGTTGGCAGCTGGGAGCCAGGTGGGTGCCTCCACATCCGTGGGGCTGCACCTGGAAAGGGGACACGGTGGGATACACCCACTGCTTCCCCCAGGAGTTTGGGGATTAGAGAGAGGACAGAAATGCTGGAGCATCTCTCAGAGGAGCCTGAGAGCAAGGTTGGGAATCACTGGGGTGTGTCCAGCTGTGGTGGTGAGAGCCTGAAGATCTGCCCTGCTGCCCTGGGACATCCCTGGGGCTGGGGAGTGGGTTTTGGTGCTTTTTGCTGCAGTGTCTTTCTCCTTCCAGGTAAGTCACAAATGCCGGGGGCTTTGGAGGGAGTGTGTGACCAACATGCAGGATGGGGTCAGGACCTGTGACCAGTATGACTCCATTTTGGCTGACCACCCAGGTAAGCTGGCATGGCCTGCAGGCATTTTTTAAGTTCTTAGACAAGTGTTTTCCCTCATCCCTTTTCGAGGTGATCCTCGCTGCAAAGGGCTGACCCTCATCAGCTGGCAATGCAGGCCCAGGTCTTCTCTTGGTCTTCTTCTCTTGGTCTTCTTGCCCACCAGCACAACCTGGAGAGCAGCCCATGGTTCAGCCAGATCTGCTGTGGGGGCACCAAGCAGGAGAGAGGCCATGGAGCTCTGGCACCTCATGTGTTTGGCACGCAGAGCCCAGGCACCCTTCCTGCCCCCCCACTGCATGGTGGGACTTGCAGCCCCATTGATGTTGCTTGTGGGAGCAAGGACCCACTGGCTGAGGAATTCTGGCCTCAGCTCATGGACAGCCACACTGTGGTATGGAGACTTCTGGCCTGCACAGGGCACACCAGCCCCTGCCCAGGAGAACCCTTGTGTAGGGTGATGACAGGGGACTCAGATGGAACAGGAAGTCAGCATGGAGGAGGTGGGGCTGTGGGGCAGCTCTGGGGGGAAGGCTTTGCAGAGAGAAGTCACGTCGCTCACCCCAGTGATGTGACCCATGGCAGGTGGCACGTTTCTCACTCATTTGCTGTTCAAAACACCAGTGACATGACTTGGAGTTAAAAACAGACGGTCTGAACAGCAGCATCTTCTGCCCAAGGCTAAAGGAGAAGGGTCCAAGCAGGTGACCCCACCCCAGGGGCTGATGGCTGCACCTTGCCTGGTTTATGAGCTGGGTTCATGGGTCCTGTTGCAAGGTTCCTGATGAGCCCAGTGAGCAGCTTGCCTACTGCACATGGTGGTCCCAGTGTAGACACAGCCTATGGACACGGCCACTGGTGACTGCAGCAGGGACACAGGCAGCAATCTGGAGGGGGGACACCGGTTCCTCCGACCACTCCTCAGTCCCCTTTCTGGTGTTTTCCTCCTTTCCCAGTGAAGATCGTGGTGACACGGACCCTGCTGATCACTGCTGACCTCCTGGCTGGCCTCGCCTTGGCCACGCTGCTCCTTGGGCTCGACTGCATCAAGTTCCTGAAGGAAGATCCTGGTGTCAAGCTGAAGATGTGCTACGGGGCTGGTGCCACCCTTGGCGTTGGGAGTGAGTGGCTGGGGGGGGGGACCTTGTGTCCCAGGGGCAGCAGGGGGAACACCAGGAGCTAAGGGGTGACCCCTCAGAAGGGTCTTGAGGAGCACAGGGGGTTGTATGGCTCTTTCTTAACCCACCCCATTCCTCCTAGGCATCCTGGGTCTTGTGGGCTCCGTGTGGTATGCAGTGGATGTCTACCTGGAGAGGGCCATGCTGGTGTCACACCACATATTCCTGGGGGTCCACTACGACTTCGGGTGGTCGTGCTGGCTGGGGATGGCCGGCTCAACGGGCTGCTCTGTGGCCTCCATCCTGCTGACCTGCTGCCTCTACGCCTGCACAGGTCGGTCTGCCCTCTCCCACCCCATCACGAGTAGCTTTTTGCCCTGCAGGGATGTACGTGGGGTGAAGGGCCAGCTCAGAAGGTGCAGGCACTTCTTGCAGGCTCTGGTCAAATCAAGGGGGACCTTTTGTGTCCAGCCTGAGCACCGTGGTGGGCGAGGCCGGGCCATGCCAGGCAGCACTGGGCTGAGCAAGGACCCCATAAGCTCTATAAAAGGCACTAGAAGTGGTGCAAACATGCTCCATTCGCCCCTGGGGGACCTCAAGGTCCTAGTGAAGATGTGCTCACATCTACCCAAAGCAGTGGCCACGCTGGAGCCCTGTCCCTGTGGCTAGCCAAAGCC